CCTGGTGTCAATCAATGGCAAGAAGGCTTGGAGCAGCAGGGTCTGAGGACCTGAGGGGATTGTCGCCGAGAGACGATGCCGCAGACGGTTCCAGGACTTTGCTGGGCTTTCAGCATCGGAGATCCTCCAGAGGCCCTTTTTTAGCGTCACCGATGCAATCGGTGTTGGGAATCGGTCCCTAGGTTTTCTGCGCTCTTGCAGGATGCGGGGAGCGGTGACGTTGGTCTTCCTTGGTTTCATCGGCAAGTGGCATGCAGAGGTGCGGCTGAACACCAAGGACTCCCAGGGGCTCTCAGACCCCAAGGGCCGGCTTCGTGTTCATCTGATAAGGACTCTTTTGACTGTCTTTGAGTCTTTGATCCTCTAAGACGCTACGTAGGGAACCCGCCTGGTGAGGAGTGTCCATGCGGCTTGCAGTCCGAGGCGACTTCGACAGCCGAAGATCTCGCGCTTTTCGAGACATTTTTGAACTGCCCTTTGGGCAATCATGTGGAAACAGCATTGGACATTGACATAGCCCCTCCAAGTCCAAGTGAGCCGCGTTCTGTGCAGATGCCCATCGCCTTGGGCCGGCCCGATGCACCTTTGCAGGCCAAATGGAAACACGTCATGAAACGTGCCACAGCAACAACCAAGCAACTTCCTCCGGCAGTGCGTGACCCGGGGACGACGGACACCAGCACACCTAGATCCAGTGGCTACGAGAGGGAGTCATGGCCATGGCATCTGCCCATGCAGGTCTATGAGGAGATCGTGTTTCAGCCCACGACGGCACCGCTCCTGTGCCTTGCCGGCAGGAGCTGAATCACAGTGAGTCGGGGAGACTGCGCGGGCGGGATCAGGTTGGCAGTTCCGCCGGAGCCCGGCTGCAGGTGGGGTCGCAGAGCGTTGTGTTGCATCCTTCCTGCACTGNNGGCCGAAGCTCACGCTGCCGCAGGGAGACATGGGAGAAGTGGATGAAGTGGACGACTCCAAGGAAAAACGCGCCGGCCGTGAGATCCCCAAAACTTGCGTCCTTCCCTGCAGGATGTGGCCTCGGATGCCACGCCTGAAGACGTCATGGACCCGGCGCTGGACGCCGAGTCGTTTCAAGTGAGCATCGGACATGGCTTTCAATAGATTGCAGTAGCGAGTTGCCGAGTTGACGTTGGAGGGCAGGGCAGAGGCACAGAGCGAAAGCAGCCGCTGAAGCACTGAGCGCAGGATCTGGCGAGGAGCCAATCGACTTCCTCTCAGTCAGGCCTTGCAGCCTGCACCAAAGATTTGGACAAGCTGTGGACTGTATGAATGATTGCCGGCAGTGCGAGGCAATGCGTACAGAAGTCACGAGAGGAAAGCACCTAGAGTGAACTTGGGCCTCACTGACAAGCTTTTTTTCGGATGGTTCTGGTGGATTGGCAAGCAGGCTTTGCATCGTTTTGTCGGGCTATGCCATAGCCCCAGCTTGTCGAACCCCATAAATCTGGGCAGCAAGCACGACACCCAGCCGGCAGCATTACCCTGATTGTCGTGCTTTATATGACTATGATAACGAGTATGACTTTTGTTGTTGACATTTCATAGTCATAGTCATAATAAGAGCTGTTATTGTTCAGAGGGGTTTAATTCAAGCCCCCTTTGTAAGAGCTCTCGTTCTTATTGACAGAGATCGCATAGATGTTGAGCAGGCTGGCAAAGCCGTGCCTCAGAGGCTCGAGGGACAACTTGTGCCTTCATTGGTTTGGCTTCGGAAACCTAGGAATCCGCGGTTGAATGTTCCGGAATCAGGATCGTATTGCTTATCGTTCAGGGTTTCGGGTATGACCTCGGGTTTGGTTCAGAGCCCCCCATGAAATTATCACTTGGGTTCTTGCAAGCTCCTTCCGAGCGCCTTTGCAAGGGCGAGGCTGCCAGCCTGGCGACCCCCCGCACCCTTCAGGCACGGAGTATGGGAAGCTCAACCCAGAACCCGAAACTACGGCACCCTAAACCCCAACCCCTACCCCTAGTCCTACACTCTCAACTACTCAACCCTAAACCCCAAACCCGAAACCCTAAACCCGAAACTACTCAACCCTAAACCCCGAACCCTCAACCCTAAACCCTCATTGCGATTCTGAGCCTTTCTTTGGCCATCCCCGCATGTGCCATCTCTTGACTAAGGCCAGGTCCGCCGGGTGGGCCAATACATAGGCGAATGTATGTATATATAGATAGATATACATACATATATATAGATATATAAACAGAGGGTCGATCCTTGGACTTGGACCGTGACTCGGGCCTTCCTGCCCAGTACTTCGATGAAAGCAATACATCGATGTTTACAGCCATGTAGGGAAAATGAAATCGGCTCCGTTGTTTGAGTTCAGTTGCGGAAACGCAATCGCCGCATCTCCATACTAGATTATTTCACTTTGACTGATTGCTCAGCATGCCTGACTGGACATGAACACGCATGGTGGGGTGGGACATGGTTCGTTGAAAGCAGCCATGTGGGGCTTTTGTCTTGCAGTTTGCCTCCCCGGAGTTGGAGGAATAGGCTCAGGGCACGATTGTTTGGTAACCGGTTGTGAAAGGTTCTGCGGTGCCAAGCAGAGCCTTTAGGTTGCTTTGCTGTGCTTTTACGTTGTATGTCAGTCGGGGCTGTTGTTGGTTTTGTACAGGGATGCTGGGTTTCGTGAGACAGTTTTTTACGCGGCCGGTTCAATCTCTGTTTTTGCCGATTCCCCTCTAGGCAGATTTCTGCGCCGAGCTGGCTGAGCCCTCTTCGAGTGCACTCTGCTTGTATGTATGTCTTAGTCAATCTGCCCGCTGCTCTGAATGCAGGGATTTGCAAAAATATAGGGTCGATCGCCCTCGTCTGCCCCGCTTTTCTGTCGCGCAGGTCTTGCATCGTGCCATGTCCATGCTGCCAACCCATCCATTGGCCAGTGCATCCATGCCCAAATCATGATAACGTCCAGGCTACCAACCCATCCATTGGCCAGTGCATCCATGCCCACACCATGATATCGTCCATGCTACCAACCCATCCGCTGGCCAGTGCATCCATGCCCGAACCATTTATCAACAGATGTATCTGCGCAGAAACATCGTTTTTTTTTGTATGCGCACATCATCATCATGGTCAGGCGTTGTTGAGCAATGCTAACATCGGCCCTGCCATTCTTTTCCCGACATTGTTCGAAGCCGGGGCGAAAGAACGCATTGTGCAGAACCCGGCCATACACCTCCATCTCGTCCTGGCGCTGCAGTTCCCTGTTCAACTGAAGAACTCGGCCTCACAGAAACACGCGATTTTTTGCGATCTTTTGCTCCGCATATCATCATCATTATCATCATCACCATCATCATCATCATCATCATCACGTGGACGCCATGTTCGACAATGCTAACATGCGAAAGTATGGGCCTTGCCATGCTTTTTGCACTTTGTTCGAAGACAAACTGGGGCAAACGACGGTGATCCACCTTATACATATATATAAGATATATTTATATTTATATATATATATATAAGATATATAGAGTATTTCTAGTATTTGCCCTTCGGTCCTCCTCTGACCTTGACTCACAGGCGTCGGTCTCGCCCTTTTCTGCGGTGTACGAGCTCCGGAACAAAGAGGCGAGGAGACAAGAAACATAAAGATTATGTGATCCTACTGGTATCTTCCATTCTGATCTAGTCTTTTCTGTTCTTTCCATTATGCGATGTTTTGTTATGTCATTATATTATATACCTTGTTTCATTGTGGGAGTGTAGGCATGTATGTATGTGCATATAGAGAGCTAGCTAGTTAGTTGGTCAGTCAGTCAGCTACGAAGTAAGGAAGTTAGTAAGGTAGGTAATCAGTTAGTCAGTTAGTTAGCTAGTTAGCTAGTTAGTTATTCGTTTGCTTATTGATATACAATATTCACTTACATATATCTACGTATACGTACATGGTGTAAACGATATATATATA